ATATATATATATATATAATTAATTTCACAAATTACTTAACTATTGAACAGGTAATTCAATATTTCAGGCCTTTGAGACAATGCTTTTAATTTTCTATATTTTTTAAATTACATTTTCTAGTAATTTCTTTAATAGTTATAATATAACCATTTTAAATAAATAAAATACTGTATTATTAAAGTTAATAATTTAGAAATACTCTATTACTGACCAGCTAATGTTTCACGCCTTACAGACAAGGTAGCTTTAAATTATGTCTGTGAAATAACATTTTATTAACATTTTCAGCTCATTTCTTTGATGTTTTAAATAGAATATAAACATTTTAAATATAAAATATTTCATTATAAATAAAATAATTTGAATTACATCTAGGAAATGACAAACTTAAAAAAAAATTTGAGTTTACTTTATGTTTTAAATACAATAAACATTTTAAATATATAAAACATTTCATTATTAAATAAACAACAACAGCATTTAATTACTAAACAGTTAATTCAGAGTTTCTGGCCTTAAAGACACAGAAGCTTTTAAGCTGTAAAATAACTTACATTTCTTTGATATTGTATAATAATATATGATAATAAATTAGAATTATAATATAAAACAATATAATATAAACATTTAAAATATTTTATTATTAATATTATTTAAACACTTTCAATTATTTAGTTTATTAATAAAATATTTTATTACTTAGCTAATTTAAGATTTCTTTAATTGAATTACATATAGTAAATAACTCTTAACATTTGCACTAATTTCTTTGATGTCGTATATATAAATCATATATTTTTAATATAACATAAATGGGCTATCATGGTCTATTATTGAGGTATTGAGTACTTTACATGAAAGTCAAGCTCTCTCTTCCTGTCTAAGTGGGTGGCTCTTGTCCAGAATAAGCAGCACAGTGTAAAAGTCCTTAGTGAACCTTACTTTAGTGAAGGAGCTGCCCAGTTTGACGTGAGGTGTTGTGAGAAACTCTCTCTTGGGGCTCATGGTCAGAGAGCCCGCGTTCATGCTGTACAGGTTGGACATGACCAGCAGGAGGTCCGAGGTGGTTTTGACGGGCAGGAAGCGGCTGCGGGGCACGTTGATGCCGAGTGCGTTGTCGAAGCTCTTCATGGCAGCACCCACAGCCGTCTCCAGCTGGATGACATTCAGACCGCCGTCGAGAGTCTGGAAACAGAACAGAAGCCCGTTTCACAACCAAACGTCCGCACAAGTGTTGTTCTCCGTAATGGAGAAGGCATGAAGGGCACCTTAGGGTTGACAATGATCTCCATGTCCATGGCGTTCTTCTCGTGAAGCCTTTTAATGGCGGGCAGGCTGATCCACAAGTTGTTGGTGTTGAAGATCTTGAACTTGGTGACTGATTTAAACTCATCTAC